CCCACCAACCCTGACTCCTCACGTATTTTTTCGACGAAAGTAATTTATGATGACAAGCATTTTTAATACGTTTTAATAATACTATCACCCCCCCCCTCCCCTCCGTCCTCCCACTCCCTCTCACCATTGTCCTGCTTAAAGATGGAAATCGTATCTAAGAAGAAAGTAGTTACAGATAACAATTAAATCTTACGGCTCAGACACCCTGGCAAATAATAATGATATTGAATCAAAATATTATTAATGTTATAAAATACGTTTGTTCAAGTATCAAAAGGCACTTTTTCCTCACGCAAAAAAGCACGGAACGGCTTAAATATGCACAACCTTCACACAACATTCACACAGGCACACAAAACGTTATGTCTGCTGCTCTTGGTTTTTGTTTCTATATCTGAACTACAATTCCATCATTGTTACTCAATTCCTGTTGGGCTAATGTTGGCTGAATCAATATTTTAAAAAAATCGGAATTTGCTTTAACATTCTAACAAAAATTGGAGTAAATCATCTTGGGAAATATTATGTGGTTTAATATTATGAAAAATAACCAAAAACAATATATTATTAAGAATAACACCCCAAAAAGTAACAATGAAAATAAGATTAGATAGCATGCTGTGGGCTTGACATTGGCGATTGGAATACACAAAAAAGTTACAAATTATTGCTCTGAAGTATTGAGCAGAGTATACAGAAATAAAAGGGATGAGGGAGTGGGGTGGGGGTAGGGGAGGGGTGACATAATTATTCTTGGACATTTTAACTCCTAAATACATTCACACATACCGTTTCTCATTCTTACAAAGACTGACATTATGTACACAGGCAGAATACGACATGTAGACATTTTCACCATTTTGATATTAATATTTAACATTATAAAAATGAATATTAATTCCAAGTTCAGTCTTTCCTGTCTCCCAAAAAGAAGAGACCGCCTCCGCTTGCCAAAAGAATGCCCCCCACGACACACAGAGCGAAGGAGTAGCCAAGATTGAAGGACTTTCGTACCACGTCGTAGTAGTCCGCCGCGTAAACGATGACGCCAATTATGATGAAAATAACTGTGGTAGAAAAACAAGCATTTATAAATTAGCAAAAAAAAACAACCCAAAAAAACAAAACAAATAAAATGTAGTTACATTGTATTGTTATACCCAAAGCTATGGTTTACTGTATTTTCCTAAAATTGATAACTAGCTTGTTTTCTCATTTTCCCATTCTTATCTACTTATTTTCTCATTCATCCCTATTCTGCATCAACCCTCCCCGCTGTTGTCTCTCTCTCTCTCTCTCTCTCTCTCTCTCTCTCTCTCTCTCTCTCTGTCTGTCTGTCTCTGTCTCCTTCTCTACCGAGAGACTAACCATTGATGTGGATTATTGGAGCAAACACCTATTTTAAAAACTTTTGTTTTTGCAAATTGGTCGTTCCGGCACAGTAGCTTATCTCTTTCTTTCTCATGTCTTCAAATCAGGTCACTTCTGCGTTATATTTGTCATTCGACGACCAGCTCTAGCACTATGAAATACATTATACAATTCCTGAAAGCCTACAATGAATGAAAAGCCCGTCTTCCAAAAGACGCGCTTGTCAAGTTGAGTATCAAACTCCTTCAAAAAGACAAATAAACAAATCAACTAACAACTAAACAACGCCATCAAAATAGAGTGTTCTAGATTAGAAGGCTGTCCCTCTTAAACAAAACCAAAATCACAACACGTGACACAGGCAACTTACAAGCTGCCAAGCAGGTTCCCATGACAACGAGTGGCACCACAGCTTTAGTCTCCCGTGACATGAAGCTACAGATGAGATGCAATAGCGCACAGGCACTTCCTACAGCACCCAGGATCAAACCCAGGATCACCATAGCCCGGACTGCCTTGATATTTGCTGGGGACGAACAATAGGCAATTGTAGATTTACAGAGAACACAAGATCGCTTAACTCGTACAAGTCGTGAGCCTGTTTCCTGTTTTGTTGCAGCAAGTTTAGCTTAAAATCTATGTAACTGTTAGCATTTTCAGCATAAGATAGATGCGTTTTAAGCTATAATCATGCAAATGAATGGGCAAGTTCTTGCAAGTGGCCACAAGACTGACGAATTCGACTTTACCAATGGCGCCAAACAAGGCTGTGTCCCGGCACCAGTCCTCTTCAACATCTTCTTCACTGCCATGCTTTTCCACGCCTGCAAGGATCTTGAGAAGAAAAAAATTACCGCCTGGATGGCTCCCTTTTTGATCTACGTCGTCTGCAAGCCAAGACAAAAACCGGCACGAAGCTCCTTCAGGAGGCGCTCTTCGACCATGACTGCTCCCTGAATGCTCACTCTGAATCGGACATGCAAACAATGCTCAATCACTCGCAGAAGCCTCAAAGCTTTTTGGACTAACAATAAGCATCGGGATAACTGAAGTTCTTTACCAGTCCCCCCACAGTCTCCAAACATCACTATCAATGGCAACAGCCGGAAGAAAAACAAGAACTTTAAATACCTTGGAAGCATCATCTCTGCAGACGGCTCCATCGATCATGAAATTGATTCATGAATCAGCAAAGCCAGCCAAGCTCTCGGCAGACTGAAAAAACAAGGTTCTAAAACAGCTCAATGTCCGGCTGTCAACAAAAATCAAAGTGTACAATGTCGTTGTGCTCTCCTTCCTCCTCTGCGGTTCGGAGACCTGGACACTCTACAGGAAGCACATCAACAAATTAGAGCAGTTCCACCAAAGGGCTCTCCGCAGCATACTTGTCGTCCTCTGGCAAGACCGCATCACCAACATTGAGGTCATCAACCGATCAAGCTCACAAAGCATAGATAGCATGCTTGTCAAAGCCCAACTTAGATGGGTCGACCATGTCATCCGCATGGACGACCACCGAATGCCCAAACAACTGCTGTACGGCGAACTCGCAAGTGGCAAAAGAAATCTCTGAAGGCCAAAAAAGCGTTTCAAAGACACGTTAAGGGCAAACCTCCTGCTTGCACAGGTTACCCCCCAAAGAACTCGAAAGAACTGCCACCGAAAGGAACGCCAGGCGCAGAGCCGCTCATCTTGCCAGCAGAAAAAGCGATATCAACTCAACTACATGAAAGCTGACTTTCAGAAGAGAGAGGAGACATAATCCAACAACCCCAGCCACGACATTCCAGTGTCCCCACTGCAACAGACATGGTACAACCAAGATCGGATTGCACAGCCACATGCGCGTCCACAGATGAGCTGCACGATTTCATCGTCGTCTTCGGCAACGATGGACTACCTACCTACATGCAAATTATGCTCACTAAATTTAAAGAAAAAAATACAGATTTTGTAAACCAAGATACAGTTGTAGTACAGACAAGCAGATATTTCTGATAAATGAGGAAAACAATAATGCAGGATCCAGCCAGTAGACGCGCCAGCTAGTGAGAGTTAATTCCCAGTGCACAATACAGAACATTTCATCAAATCTCCAATTAGGTTCTATACATTTGGCGGCTGCCACGTTTTCGTTTTAGGTTAAAAAGCTTTTGTAGCTCAATTTGATTTAAAAGACAAATCAAAACACAATAAAAACTATTCTGAAAACAACAAATCTGAAGGCTACAAAACATTATCGCGGGTCAGATCTTAAGTTTTTGAGCGTAGAATGGATTAAGCCTTGATAAATATCTACGTCAAATTTGATGAAGCATATTAAACTATAATACGACATAGAGTGTACTGGCTGGTGCTGTTCATCTAATGTATCAAACCATATCAAATTAAATAAGGAATTGGTGAGACTTTCTACAGTGTGCACTTGGTGTGTGTGTGTGTGTGTGTGTGTGTGTGTGTGTGTGTGTGTGTGTGTGTGTATGTGTGTGTGTGTGTGTGTGAGAAAGAGAGAGATAGAGAGAGAAAGAGCTAGAGAGAGAGACAGACAGACCGACAGGCACACACACCCACACGCACTCACACACATACACACAGATAGATAGATATATAGATAGATAGATAGATAGATAGATAGATAGATAGATAGATAGATAGATAGATA